CCTCACAGCAACTTTATGAATTAAGTTCTGTTATATTCTACTAGAGGCCCAGGACACAAATTCGTGCACAGGTGGAGTCCAGCCGGCCTGGCCCAATTGGGGCAGATCAAGGCTGGGCCTGTCAGGAGGAAGAGATGGCAGGAAGTTGGCCTGCTGGTCTGTCCAGATAGGGGCAGATCAGGGCCAGGCTGGCTTGGAGGAGGGGCTGTAGGCCACTGGCCAGTGGACCCACCACTGATTGGGACGGGGGGGGGGGGGGGCAGATTAGGGGTCAGTGGCCAGGGAGGGCCGCGGTGGTTGGCCAGCTGGCCCTGCCCCTGATCGAGGTGAGGGAGCTGATCCGGGTGGGTTCAGGCAGGGGAGAGGGGCTGCAGGATCAGGGATCAGGCAGGGGGGAGGGGCTGCAAGAGGTTGGCTGGCCGTCCCTGCTCCCAGTTGGGTAGGGGGTCAATCTGGGTAGGAGCTGTGGGCCAATCAGGGTGGGAGAGGCCGATCAAGAACAGAGAAGCTGGGGGAGGGCCATGGAAAGCTGGCAGGCCGGTCCCACCCCCAGATGTGGCCGGTTCACAGGCCACAGTGGGCATCATAGCGACCAGTGTCCTAGTCATTACAGCTTTCCAGTCGCTGGCTTTTTTTTATTTATTTATATGTAGATTGTAGTAATGTTAAAAAGTTATCTGGGCCGAAACCGGTTTGGCTCAGTGGATGGTGCGTCGGTCTGAGGACTGAGGGGTCCCAGGTTCGATTCCAGTCAAGGGCATGTATCTTGGTTGCAGGAAACTTGGCTTGAGTTAGGAATTAAAACTGGCCAACTGGAATTCACAATCAGGCAGATTGCCCTAGCCAGTGTGGTTCAGTTGGTTGAGCATCTTCCCATGCACTGAGAGGTCACTGGTTATATTCTGGTCGGGGCACATGCTCAGGTTGTGGGCTCCATCCCCAGTGGGGGTCTGTGGGAAGTAGCCAACCCACGTTTCTCTCTCATCAATGTTCCCTCCTCTCTCTCTCTCAAATCAATAAAAACATATTTTTAAAAAACAGGCAGATTGCTAGGGAAGCCCACGTTGGCAACTGCAACACCACCCTGACTGCTGTGACGAGTGACAGAGAGTTCAGACCAAAACATTGGCAGGAAGAAGCTCGTTGGAGCAGGCCTTGAAGGTTGAAGTTGGGCCTTGAAGGATCCTTTTCCCACACCCCCTTAGTAGACAGTGCAGTGAAGAGATGTGGGCTTGAATCTCAGCTCCATCACTTTCCCAGCTGAATAACGTGTACTTATCTCTTCTGACCCTCAATTTCCTTAATTGTGAAATGGGGACAATGAAAGCCACTGAAACACCCTGAGGAATAAATGTGATTGGACATCAAAGCACCCAGCCAGGTGTCTGGTAGGCAGCATGGGGGCTCAGTGGTGGAGGCTGTGGACAATCGGATATAATAGCTACAGCTCATCTATAGGACTCTCTTTCACGGCCTGCGTGGAAAGAGTTGCAATTCAGGGTTCAGGTTCTGGAGAAGGACCGCACACAAATGAAAAGAGACTTGAAGAAATTCAATTTGGCGATTTGGGGGGCCAGACGGTAGTCCAACTCTAGTGGGAGAATTACTACTGCTCTGGCCCTGCCATCCCTCTTATTGAGGCTTTGGGGAAGACATCTTAGGCCACATAAGCAGAAATTTACATGTAGCCCTTAGGCAGGAAATAACAGAAACTTTCACGGACAAGGTAGATTCTGCTTCAGCTAACAAAATCTCAACTAAAGGTTTAGAGCAATTAAGGTTGTTGACCAGCCTTCCTGGCTTCCTGTCAACATCTCTTTTTTAGTGAAACTGATTTGGTTTCCAGCACTCATCCCTACCGAGCACTTACCTCATGCTCCGCCCCTTTTCTGGCACTTAACATAAATTTACTTATCAAGGATCCTATTAAACAGGTATAATTTTTAGACCATTTTACTGAGGAGAAATGGAAGCACAGAGATGTTAAAAAGTCATCTGGGCCGAAACCGGTTTGGCTCAGTGGATGGTGCGTCGGTCTGAGGACTGAGGGGTCCCAGGTTCGATTCCAGTCAAGGGCATGTATCTTGGTTGCAGGCACATCCCTGTTGGGGGTGTGCAGGAGGCAGCTGATCAATGTTTCTCTCTCATCGATGTTTCCAACTCTCTGTCCCCCTCCCTTCCTCTCTGTAAAAAATCAATAAAATATATATATTTTTAAAAAGTTATCTGAGCTGGCAAATGACAGATAGCACTTGACTCTGCTGCCTCAGTTAGGAAGGTGGGTGAGACAGCCAGCCAGCCGCACCACAGAGTCAGGAGTGGGAGGGGGGAAGCTTCCGGGAGGCTCCCTGAAGGTGGCATTGGAGCCAAGACCCGAAGGAAGGAAGGAGGCCAGGACTTGGGAAGTGCAGGAATTCTGGGGAAAGAATGTTTTGTGCAGGGATGAGAGCCCGTGCAAAGGCCCTGAGGTGAGGGTGTGCTTGACATGCTCAGGAAACAGCCAGGAGGCTACCCGACTGGGGTGGAGAGCAAAGGGTGAGTAATAAGAGATAAGGTCGGAAGGGGGGGGGCGGGGTGAGGAGGGAGGAGAGCGTGTCTCCACCCGTCTTCCAGATCACTGTATGTGTTATGAAAACCATGAGTATAGAATGCAAAATATGCATGCTTCTCAAAGTTCAGAGGTGAGACTTGAGGGCAGGGTGCTTACGGACCTCCCCTGCATAAACATTCTCTCTCTGTCAGCTCTGACCGTCTCTGTGAGTGAGCCACACGGGGTGGAAATGGGGAAATGTTGGTGTGAGTGACAGCGACCAGGTCTCTAAGCAGAGCCTCTGGGTCTGGGCCTGGGAGATCACCCCCACCTTAGGGCTCTGGAGGACAATGCTGCTGGCTTCCTCCCGGCCAAAGTCCAAGTTTAGTCAACGAGGCCTAAAAATAAAACCCATCCTCTGCTCAGTCTTCCAGGCCCAGGTCGTCACCACAGTGAATGTCCTGTGATTCAAACTGAATTTGATAAGCCCTCAGTCACACCTCTGAGACCGTCCTTTCCTCGGGGCCAGTGCGGGCCTTCTCTGAGATCCCATTTGATCTTGTAGGTGTAGATCTTGGATCTGCTTTGCCCTGGCCCACCATTTGGGTTCCTCTTCCGGCAGAGGTAGGGGGGAGGCTGGAAGGGGACTTTGGTATAGCTCGTGATTCCGTGAAGAACCAACACTGGGTCCAGTTCAGAGTCCAGCCAGGCGCTCAGTTTGTGTTTGGCTCCTGTCCGCACTCAGGGGGCAGCCTCCCGGTGTTCCTTCTCTTTTCAAAAGTTCAGCCGGTCTATGGAGGGAGTTGAATACGATGCCATGCAGGCCTGCAGGGGGAACGGGGCAATGGAAAGCCCAGCGCAGTGACAACAGCCGTCACCGTGAACAGGACACCGGGATCAGTAGTTGTCCTTGCCCTCGGGGGAATGAAATCGAGGCTCAGGGGTTTAGACACCTGGACGGTTCAGGACAGTCTGACTCTAGAGCACGTGCTCTTAACCTCTGGAGTCCACTGTCCTCTTTATCAGAGTCCCTACAAGAATATGCCAGCAACTTGCTTTGGTGCGGGAGAGGAAGAAGCTGCGGGTTTTGCTGTATTTTTAGGCATACGTTTAATTTCTTCGAAAATGAAGTCGCCTGTGAAACTGCTGTGCTCTAAGGATGTGGAGACAAATCCACGTGTGGCCTTTCCAGCATCATCCAGCCTAACCAGGGAATTAGAGAGGAGTAGCCGTGAGTCAAACATTACAGAGAGTCAGGAGAGGGAACAAGTTAACTGTTTCCAGAGGGGCTGACATTTGTCCAGGTATTCAACAGCAGCAAGCCTGGACTGGGTGCTACTGGGTGGCTGGCTTAAAGTGTCCCAGCCCTGCCCTGGTTTGAGGATCATTCAAATTGCCCCCGTGCTTGTTAAGATGTGAATTTCTCCCTTTCTGGAGAGAATCAGAGCTGGATGGCGCAGGGCTGGGAATAGCACCCAGGTGGAGCCCATGGACACTCAGGTTTGCCAGGTGAGTGGGAGGATGGGGGGATCCCTCTAGGCCTGAGGAACAGCATGGACACGGTTTGGGAGTCCTTCGTGGCCTGCAGACACTGGGGTTCAGTTCAAGACCGCGTTATGGGAGGAGAGGATTCCTGCCCCTGCTGTTTACCCCGCCGGGGCCTGGAACACAGTGGGGCCTGGCAAACTTGAGTGTTCATTGGATTCACCTGGGTGCCGGGCTGCCTCCCAAAATGTGACGGGAGAGTCAAAGCGAAAAGCAAAGACGTCAGAGGAGAGAACATAAAAGTGTTTCTAAGGGGATGAAAACTTTCAAAAAGTTGTCCTGGAAAAGGCGGCTCCATCTCACAGAGGGAGCTGGGAAGCGGCCGCTTCGGGGAAGGGCAATGAATCTGAGGCTGCAGCTAGGGAGAGGGCAGGAAGCGCCTTCTCGCCTCCGGGCGGTCTGCAGCATGAGGTCACCTGGCGCTCCGCCAGGGCAGCTGAGTGGCGGCGCCCGCGCCGCGCCGGCGGGAGGCGGTGTCAGGCTCAGGCTGAGGCTCCGGCCCCCGCCCTGGAGTGAGTGGTTCGGAGACCCGCTCCCCGCCGGCGTCTAAGGCCACGCCCCCGACCCTGGCCACGCCCCTGCCGTTTGTCCTCACTTGAGGCCACGCCCATTTCCCCCAGCGAGTTCCGAGACTCCGGCCTGGGCCCGCTCCCAACGAGGCCCCGCCCCTCCGGCCCAAGGCCCGCCCCGCCAGGCCCCGCCCCCTCCGCCCCGCCAGGCCCCGCCCCCGAGGCTAAAGCGGCTCGGGCTGCGCCGCCCCGGAGTCGCGCGCGGGGCGTGGGGAGGTGCTGAGCGGCGGAGCCTGAGGTGAGCTCGACGCCCGGACCGTCCAGGAAGGCGCCGCGCGGCGGGAGCCCACCCCGAGCATCCCCGGAGCAGAGGCGGCCGCCGCTACCGTTGTCCGCGGAGTCCCGTCGAGCCGGCCATGGCGTTGTCGATGCCGCTGAACGGGCTGAAGGAGGAGGACAAAGAGCCCATCATCGAGCTCTTCGTCAAGGTGAGCGCCCGTCCGCCGTCCGCCCCGCCGAGTCCCCCGCGCCCGCGGGGCTGCCGGGGGCGGGTCCCTGGGCTGCGGCGGGGGTTCCCGCACCCCAGGCGCAACCTGAGGCGGCCCCCGCGGCGGCGCCCGGGGCTGAGGGGCAGCGCGGCCCGCGCCCCGCCCATTGTGTCGGGCTCTCCCGCTCCTTCCCGCCGCCGGGGTCGGTCGGTCCTGGGAGCCCGAAGGGGGCCCGGAGCCCCGAAAAGGAGCGCTCGGGGCCAGGCGTCACCGCCTCCAGCCGCCCGGGGGCCGGCGGACGCCACGCCGTGGTCCCGCGACCGGGTGGGACTCGCTGCTCCCCGCGGGCCCCGGAGCCCCGGGCCGGGGCCGGGGCCGGGGCGCGTCCGGTCACCGACCTCCGCCTCGCGGGCCCCGACCCCCGCTCCTCCCGGCGGAAGCCTCAGGCCGGTGTGCGATGAACTCAACTTCTTGGCGCTTTCCGAACAGTTCTCGCGCCGCCGGGGTGAACTAACTTCGCTTTCCCATGCAGTCTTCGTTTCTTTCTTTTTTTTAAAAAGAGCAGACATTCCTGGCTCCCGGAAAAGCCCGCGATTCCCAGCTCGGGCTTTCCTGCTCTGGTGTCTTGCCACCATCTGGTTTTCTTGTTTCCCAGACGCGGAGTGTCTCGTCTGATGCAACGTTTTGGCTGCTCCCCTCGGCGCTGCTGCAGCCTCCGGGGAAGGTTGTGTGCGCTCTTTTGTTTTGAAAGACAAACCGAGGAGGGAACGGGTTCATAATTTGCTTGGGCTTTCAAGGGTCGATTTTTCCCCTCCTTCTGCTTCTGGTCTCTTTGTTAGAGCCTGGAATTGCCTTATTTGCTTACCGATACTTCCCCTGTCCCCTTCTTTGTTTTTTTGAATATTTTTTTTCATTTGAGCAAAGGAGAGAGTAGAAGTTAGACACATCTGGATCCAGCTGCCTTCCTCAAAACTTCTTTAAGCCGGGTGCAGGAGGCAGCTGATCCATGATACTCTCTCATCAATATTTGTATTTCCCTTCCCTCTCCTCCCTCTCTCAAATCAATAAAACTGTATTAAAAAAACAACTCTTAACAATCCTCTACAGTCTCTTAGTCACTGACTTCGGCAGACTCATTCAAAGCTGGGCTCGTAAGGAATGTTAACAGGAATCCAGAACAATTTTGTTCATTTTTTTCTTGAGTTTTTATTTTAACGAAGGGAAGACGTGGAAGGGTGTGTTTGAGGCATGGAACTGATCTGCAGGTGACGGAACAGTGTCTGTTTGAGGATTTTGTTTAGGTTACCAGTTTTAGAAAGATTACTGAAACAGGAGCTAGGTATCGAAACCCCAGAATATCTTAGAAGAGTCTCAGTTACTTTGGGTGGCAGATAAGAGTATTCAGAGGTGCAGAGAATGTAGGAAGCTGAAATAAGAAAGAGTGGAAGGCAGCATTGAGAAAGGGGGGTGGGTGGGATCAGAGATGAGTGTTAAAATTTTTACTGAGCTGGCAAAGTCACTAATTATCCGAGAAATGCAAATTAAAGCAACAATGCGGTACCATCTCACACCTGTCAGAATGGCCAACATCAACAAATCAACAAACGACAAGTGTTGGCAAGCTTGCGGAGAAAAAGGAACCCTCGTGCACTGCTGGTGGGATTGCAGACTGGTGCAACCACTGTGGAGAACAGTGTGGAGCTTCCTCAAAAAACTGAAAATGGAACTCCCATTTGACCCAGTAATCCCACTCCTAGAAATATATCCCAAGAAACTAGAAACACCAATCAGAAAGGATATACGCACCCCTATGTTCATAGCAGCACAATCTACAATAGCTAGGATTTGGAAACAGTCTAGGTGCCCGTCAGCAGATGATTGGATCCAAAAACTAAAGTACATCTACACAATGGAATACTATGCTGCCATAAAAAAGAAAAAATTCTCATCATTTGCAGCAACCTGGATGGAATTGGAGAACATGCTGAGTGAAACAAGCCAGTCAATGAAAGAGAGACACCACATGACCTCACATATATGGATGATTAAGATTATAAACTGAAGAACCAAAAGATATAGAGACAGTAAAGCAACAAGCAGACTGTCAAATTACAGCAGGGAGGTTAGGGAGATCTGGGGGAGATAAGAGATCAACCGAAGGACTTGTATACATGCATATAAGTACAACTAATGGACACAAAACTCTGGGGAGAGAGGGTGTGTGTGTGTGGGGGGGGCATTGGTATATATACAAAAATAATTTAATAAAAAACATATATTAAAAAAATTTTTTACAGAGCTGGGAATAGGAAGGAATTTCCATAAACTCAAAAATCAGTATATCTAAGAATCCAAAAGAAAAAAAAAAGTTATCCTTAATGGTGAAACTTTAGAAGTAGCATTACATTTAGAATCTGATAAGGATACTATCAGTAATGGTTTCTTTCCAGTATTTTACTGGAGGTCCAATACTAGTAACACAAGAAAAATGAGGTGTATAATTTAGAGAGGAAGAGAGCAATGCTTAATGCTCTGCTTACTATTTTATATTTTTATTGATATTTGGAGAGAAAGGAGGGGAGGGAGAGAGAAACATCAATCAGCTGCTTCCTGCATGTTCCCTATCTGGGACTGAGCCGAAATGGACTGAACCAGCAACCTTTCGGTGCATTGGACAATGCCCAATCAACTGAGTCGCTCTGGCTAGGGCCCTGCTCACTGTTAATTTAACCATTACATTAGGAGAGGCCTGGCTGGTGTGGCCCAGTGGTTGAGCCTTGACCTATGAACCAGGAGGTCATTGCTTGTTTCCTGGTCAGGGCATATGCTACTATTGCTGGCTTGAACCCCAGTAGGGGTCATGAAGGAGGCAGCTGATCAGTGATCCTCATCATTGATATTTCTATTTCTCTCTTCCTCTTCCACTCTGAAATCAATAAAAATATATTTTAAAAAAAGGAGAACTTGATGCCTTGTTTCCCAAATTTGAGTCATTTGCATACCCCTTCCTAGCTTTCCGTATTTGTGTTAGATCAGTATTATGATATTATTGTTTACTAAATACAATTCACTTCTTAAAAAATCCTCACCTGAGGATATGTCTTTTGATTTTAGAGAGAGAGGAAGGGGGCGAGAGAGAAACATAGGTGGAAGAGAGAACCATGGGTTGGTTGCCTTCTGCAGGTGCTCTGATTGGGGATCAAACCCTCAACCTAAGTATATGCTCTGACCAGGAATCGAACCTGCAACTTTTGATGTATGGGATGACACCAACTGAGCCACTTGGCCAGGGCTCTACAACTCACTTTTTTAAAAAACAGCTTATCCTTAAGTAATAATTCCTGTTATACTATGGATTAAGTGTGATGATTATATTATAAAGATAAAGTTTGTGAACCAGCTAAAAGCATCCTGTTTATCACTAGTTGTAAGCCTTTCTCACTGGCCTTAGTGGCAGAGAATCAGGGTTCAAGTCACATTTCTTCTTTTGTTGTTAATCCTCACCCAAGGATATTTTTCCATTGATTTTTAGGGAGAGTGGAAGAGTGAGGGAAAGACGGAGAGAAACATCGATGTGAGAGAGAAACGGCCAGGGCCCGAGGAGATTGCAGCCAAGTTACGTGCCCTTTACCAGGATCGAACCTGGGACCCTTTGGTCTTCAGGCTGACCCTCTCTATCCACTGAGCCAAACCAGCTAGGGCTCAAGTCACATTTCTTGACTCACTGGCTTGTTTTTTCTGGGCAAGTTGTTTTCCCTCTTGAGACTTTCGTTTCTGAAGTAAAAGGCCAAATGTTTTCTGTTGCTTGGTGAGTCAATATAGGCAAAACTTTGTACTGATGTAAACCAGGGGAGTTGTTTCAGAGGAGAAAAAAGGTAGGGGGGCAGATAAATTGTGGTAAAGAGTATTTTTCATTTCTTCTCAAAACCTGTGTGCGGAAAATGCAAATGGGGGAAAATACCTTTGTAAATACAGTTATTTTGAAAGCAGTGAGGGGGCAGAGGCCATGGTTGTCCAAAGTGATATTTTAAACCGTATTAATCATTCTGCCAAAAGGTTTCTGTAGCAGAAATCTGTTATCTAGCTCTAGCCGGTTTGGCTCAGAGGATAGAATGCCGGGCCTGTGGACTGAAGGGTCTAGGGTTCAATTCCGGTCAAGGGTACATGCCTGGGTTGCAGCCTCAGTCCCCAGTAAGGGGCATGCAGGAGGCAGCCAGTCAATGGTTCTCTCATTGTTGATGTTTTTATCTATCCCTCTCCCTTCTCTGAAATCAATACAAAAAAAGAAAACTATTATCTAAACTTAAAGCCCAAGTGAAAAACATTGAGCCTACCTAAATTTAGATAGCTGTAAATTTAAAGAAATAGGCTAGGATCTTTCCAACTAGTATGACTGGATGCAAAGCTGCATTTCCCTCCCTGGGGAATATTGTTTTTTGAACCATTTGCCATAAGCCCAGTGATCCCCATCCCCTGTATAACAGCAGTTGTCTATTTAAAAAAAAAAAAAAAAAAAATATATATATATATATATATTATTGATTTTTTACAGAGAGGAAGAGAGATAGATAGTCAGAAGCATCGATGAGAGAAAGACATCAACCAGCTGACTCCTGCACATCCCCCATCGGGGATGTGCCCTCAACCAAGGCACATGCCCCTGACCGGAATCGAACCCGGGAACCCTCCAGTCCGCAGACCGGCGCTCTATTCACTGAGCCAAACCGGTTTCGGCAGTTGTCTATTTTTGTGTGTTTACCTCAACACGATTAGGACAGGAACCTTCCCAGTAGTACAGAGGTTTACGAAGGCAGTCATCCTCAACAGGGAGGATGCCCACTTCCACCACTCCGAGGGACGTGGGAGGGGCATATATTTTGTTAACACCAGCCCCAGTTGGGATCTACCAACCAAGAGGGTGAAGTTCAAACTCTTTAGCAAGGTCTTGTCTGACTGCTACCTGGGTTTCTAATCCAATTTGTTCACTTATTGAGTGTTTC